TGCAAAAAGAAATTGGGAGCGAACTCGAAAAATGGTACAAGGCATTTACATGACCATTTCAAGTCTTGTGCAAGACGACCTGTTCGAGATATACGCCAACATATCTTAGTAGGGGAGCAAACTAAGGTTGATGGTACTTCATCTTATGTTTCTAATTATACTTTTAATGCGGATAAATCAAGAAGAAATCTTGCGGAGATGATAATCATACACGAGTATCCACTTTCAATAGTAGAACATCATGGGTTCCGAAAGTTTGTGGGGGGTCTTCAGCCTTTGTTTAAGGTTCCGTCTCGAAACACCATCAAAAGTGACATACTAAAGATTTATGATTTTGAAAGACAAAAGACATTGAAGATGTTAGAGAAGAACACTAGTAGGATAGCAATTACGAYTGATATRTGGACGGCTAACAATCAAAAAAAGGGATTTATGGCGGTCACTGCTCACTTTGTTGATCAAAATTGGAATATGCAAAGTCGGATCATGAGGTTTATCTATGTGCCTTGTCCACATACATCTGAAGTTCTTGCGGATGTACTTTATGATTGTTTATTGGATTGGAATCTTGATAGAAAACTGTCTACACTAACTGTTGATAATTGYACCACAAATGATGCAATAATCAACATATTGTTGGACAAGCTTCCTATGAGTTCACTTATGATGGGTGGGAGGTTGTTCCACATGCGATGTTGTGCACACGTTCTCAATTTGATAGTTCAAGATGGATTGGCTGTTCTTGGGGACGGGATTGAAAGGATCAGAGATAGTGTGGCCTTTTGGACTGCATCGCCAAAAAGAGATCAAAAGTTTGAGGAAGCAGCTCRCCAATTGGGAATATCATCCACCAAGAAATTGGCACTTGATTGCAGGACTCGATGGAACTCTACTTACTTGATGATTAGTGTTGCTATAGTTTACAAAGACGTATTTCAACGCTTACACCAACGAGAGTCTCAATATAAAAGTTTGCCAACGCAGCAGGATTGGGAGTTTGCTAAAGAGATTTGTGATAGATTGCAATTATTTTATGAGRTAATTGACGTAATTCTAATTTTTACTTAAACTTTACTTTTGTTTTGTTGATATGAGGTAACTTTAGTTTTTTGTTTTTTTGGCACTCTTAGGTAACAGTAATGTTTTCTGGTTCAAAGTATCCCACTACAAATGTATTTTTTCCATCGATATGTGAAATTAGGTATTCTTTGGTCGATTGGKCATGTTCTCCTAGTGAAGTTATTAGAAACATGGCTAAGAAGATGCTTTTGAAGTTTGATAAGTATTGGTCTGTTATACATGGGATTATGGGAATGGCAGCGGTTTTAGATCCTCGGTATAAATTGAAGTTTGTGGAGTTACTTTTTCCCGTCTTGTACGGACAAGACAAATCCGCGATTGAACTTGAAAAGCTTAAGGAATTGGTCTACACTTTATTTCAAGAATATGAGTTTAGTGATCCTGGCGTAAGAAACAACATCGAAGGTGTTAGTGGTTCGTCTTCTTTAAGTTCAGGGTCTTCAGCAAGTCATCGGGTTGAATTTAAAAAACTATTATCAAATATTGCTTCACTTGCCAACCAACATGATGATTCTGGTATTACAACAGAATTGGATAATTATTTGAAAGAGAAACTTTTGCCTAAAGACATGGAACTTGATTTGCTACTTTGGTGGAAGACAAATGGGTTTAAATACCCAACACTTCAAAGGATGGCTAGAGACATATTAGCCGTTCCTATTTCGACTGTCGCCTCGGAATCTGCATTTAGTACCGGTGGAAGATTGGTAACTCCACATCGTAGTCGACTTCATCCAAAAACATTGGAGGCTCTAATGTGTGCTCAAAGTTGGCTATTGAATGAAATACGAGGTAATCTTATATTTGTTTTTAGTTGTGAATTCTTTTTAGTTATATATTTAATATTTCAATCGTTTTATTTATTTATACTACATTGTGTTCTTTATAGAAACTTGTTCTGATGAGACCGAAGCATATTGCCGTACGATTGAGTATGATTATGACGTGGAAGAGGTAACTACAATTATAATACTATGGACAATGATTATGGTATATTTATTTATTTAGTCTTTTACATACATTTTATTTTATAGGAAGCTAAGGGAAGTGAAAGCTTGGGTTGACGAGTTTSGCATTTTGGGAGTTTCAAGTTAGTAATCTAGCAAATTTATGTATTTGTCTTTCGAGTTAGTTGGATTATGTCTAAACTTTGGTTTATTTTGGGATTGTAATTTAAGACGTTTTTTATCGATCATGGGTTGATCATGTATTCATGTACTCGATATGATGTACATTGTCTTTTTCTCAAGGTTTATTTGATTATGTTTTTRTTCGATAATGGGTTGTCCAAGAAACAGCCAAACAGGTTTATTTAATTATGTTTTTATTCCAATTTTTTGCTTGATAAATATATGTTTTTTCAGATCTGGGTTCGGGTTCAGGTTATGGTTCGGGTTCGGTTTCGGGTAAAACAAATGGGTAACGGTTATTCTTCTCTTAACGGGTTACCAACGGGGATCGGGGAAACCGCGGGGACCCGATGGGGATCCCCGACGGGGATCGGGACGGTTATGGGGATGGTTATGGTTATCGGTTTCGGGGACGGGGACTTTAAAAACCGTCCCGAACTCGGCCCGTTGCCATTCCTAGCGCTAATATTGAGATAAACTCGAATTCCAGCTGTTGACTTGTCATCTCCAGCTGTCATTCATGATGTGATGATTTCATCCTTATCTTCAAATCTTCATTGCATGCTTGGATGAAGTGCTGGAAAATATTCTAAGTGTTGATGACCAGAGGATCGATGAGAATGCTCTTTCCATCGCATCCTTGGACTGTCCATCGGTCCTCTGGTTGAACTGTCCATCGGTCCTCTGATTGAATTCCAGACTTAGTCGTTTCTTCCTTAATGTCTTCATTGGTCTTCTGGTTCTTCATCACTTATTATTTTTCATTACTTTTTACATGATGAATTGTGGGGTTTAACAAATTTAAAACGGTAAAACAGTGAAATGGTTGCATACAATGAAGAGGACAGATTAATATAGTTTCATGATGTGAAACAAATTCATACAGTGAACCAGATTCACACATGTGAATAAATATTGTGAAACAGATTCATACAATGAAGAAATACATGTTCATCTAGTTAAGAAATACATATTAATAAGGTGAATCAAATTCATACAGTGATGAAATAATGTTTTTCATACAGTGAAATAGTTGCATACAGTGATGAAATACAATTTTATACAGTGTAATACAGTTTCATTCAGTGAAATAGTTGCATACAGTGAAGAGGACAGTGATGAAATACAGTTTCATATAGTGAAACAGATTCATATGAGTGATTTATCGATTTTACCCTTTTTTAATTAAAAATGAAACTTTTTTTTCTTTTTTTTAATTTTCTAATATAACACTTTTAATCTTGACCATTGATCAAGAAAATGGATAGATGTGATTGGTTTGTAGGATTTTCACAAATGAGGGTGGTTCAAACGAGAAACCCTGTGATTTACGAGAATGCGAGAATAACCTATTAACCTCATATTGTGATAACAATTAAAATTAAAAGATTTTTTAAATTAAAGTTGAAATTCAAAAGGATTTAAAAAAAAATTGAGATTCAAAAGGGTAATAATGGAAATCAATATCATAAAATCTTAAACACGATCACATGATAATCCTCAAAATTATAGTGATTATCCTTATCTTTATTAGGTATTGATTAAGAAGTTGATTTCAAGGAGAAATCAACGAACAAATAAGCCGTAAAGTCTCAGGAATCAAACATTAAACAGTTATCGATCAAGAAGAAGCGTTTGCATGCAAAAATCGAACAACAAGAAGAAGGAACACAGTTTATTAAAGGTATTTGTCACAATTACTCGATTATGATTAGTTTATCACACATTTATTACAACGAATTACTGACGAAATCGATTAAACGATTTTGTGTGATATGGGTGTGATAATAATGTGATATCAATATCACTCGATTTGATCATGGTTTCGATGGATTAGGTTAGACATTATCACAACGATTTCGGTTGGATTCGATAAATTAGGATTAGACAATCACACATTTATCACAATGATTACGGGTGAAATGCACTAAACGATTTAGTGTGATATGGGTGTGATAATCATGTGATTGTGATATGGGTGTGATAATCATGTGATATCACTATTATAACATCACTTGCGCACTCAACTTTATCATGGTTTTGATCGGTTAGGGTTAGACAATCACACATTTATCACAACGATTACTCATAGTTTCTATAGGTTATGGTTACATTTGATTGATCATGGTTTCGATAGGTTATGGTTACACTGGTTGATCATGGTTTCGATAGGTTATGGTTACACTAGGTTGATCATGGTTTCGATAAGTTATGGTTACACTAGGTTGATCATGGTTTCCGATTGTCAACATACTATGAACGATCTGGAGAAGAAAATGAGATAAGAAAACCAACCAGAAAAAAAAAATCGTGGATACGTGATCAATCAAAGGGACAATTACAATTAATTAAAATAAAAATTACTTAATTACATCACTGTTTTTATTAATTTATTTATATTTAATATAAGTTAATTTATTAATTAAAAAAGTTTGAGTTTATTGAATTATTTTCGCGTTTTCGTAAATCACGGAAATTCTCATTTGAATCTCAATAAAATCATGTTATATAGCGATCCCTCAAATTTGATGCCATCTCGTCTTATATTATTGTTGATTGTTCAATTTTGATGCCATCTCGTTTTATGATTATTCTTGATTGTTTACAACATTTCTAAGCTTGATAGTTAGTATTTTCTTTGATTGGATTATCATACATCATTTTATCCGCATGCATCCGGGCCGGGTTTCATTGATATCATTTTATATATTTAAGAAAAATGTATTGGATCATAGAATATTTATATAATATAATTAATTATAAAATCTTTAAAATAAAAGAACTCTTAAATTTATTTTAGAGATTTTAACTTTTGATTCTTTGTTTTAGAAGAATTACATACAACCTCAACAAATATAAGTATATGTTCTTCTACAAGAGTTTCACTAATCTTCATCATCGTAATCGTTTCTTGATCGAAAAAAGCTTCTAACGACGGCGGCCGCCGCACCAAGAAGCATAAACAATACCAAGGTATCAAAACCACCACCCACGCCAATAGCCACGCTTGGGCCAGGTGCAAAGTAGGAAAACGGTGACCACCCCCACCCGTAACCATATCCACCAACCAGCGGTGGCGCAACCCTCGGATTTATGTAAATATTGGTCCTGCCATTTATGTATGCAGCACCACATACAAATAATGAAGTCATTTTTCGAAACACAAGGTGTATTTAATGGAATTGATGAAAAATTACCTGGAATTATTGATTCTTGGTGAAGATGAACGAGGCTGTGGTGCAGATCGGAAAGCCTGACCACCGACACGGCCGCCGGATTTGGCAGCGAAAGCTGGATCAACTGATCCTAGTGTCAAAACCCCAGCTGCCATTGTCATGAAAGCAAGCTTTGCAAGTTGATTGTTATTCTCTTTGATTCTGCAAAAATTGAGAGAAAAACAATGGAATCAATGAAAATAGAAAGAAGACACGCAATTGAAATTAGGAAGGTACCTGGATGAGTCTTCGGGGGTTTCATGTTTAGAAGAGATGATTATGGAGTTTTTGGGGATATGATTTGGATATGATTTATGGGGGGTAGAGAGGAGGGCGTTGGTGAAGAAGCTTTGGGAAGATGAAGCAATGGACATGGTGAGGGTTTGATTCTTGGAATTGGTGCTTCTGGTTTCAATCGGTTTTTACAGGATTGAATTTTGAGAGGCTACTTGAAATTCTGATAGTACTGATGCCACGTTGTCATTCACTAGTCGCTGATTATTATTTTTATAAAAAATTATATTATTAAATTTAAATTAAATTATAATTAAGAAAATTACACCAAAGACAAAAACTTTTAGAAAGATTAATTTGATATTGATATCGATATATTTTTTTTTTAATTTATAATATTTTTAAATTTATATTTTATACAAAAATAAAAACATTATCGTTTTCTCAAAACCACATAAAACTGTATTATATCGACAAAAAAAGGGAATAAAACGAAACACTCAAATCAAGATATGTCTCGATGCATTGCACGAGTACCCTTCTAGTTTTCTATAATATTTCAACAGTTTATCTATCTTATTCTTTAAAATAGAGAATCATAAAAAAAACTTTAAATATAGAGAATTTTTTAAAACTCTAAAGAGATGAGGGAAAAATGAGTTTTTTATTTATCCCACCAATGAAGGTTGAATTAATATCATTTTTACATGAGAAAAATCTAAAAAAAACTCAATGGACTTTAGTGTTTGGAATGATTAAGTCATTCGACAATTTTTTTGGAACAAATAAGTCCTTGTACATTCCAAAACTTGTTAAATAACTTCTTGGACCTTCTAAAACCTGTTAGATACATTTTATAACATATAAAACTTGTTAATATGGTAAAATAACAGGAAAAATCTGAGAAAAAAAAAACCAATGTACTTTCATATTTTGAACAAATAAGTTCCTACACATTTTCTGAACCAAAAAATACTTACATCCATAAAATGAAATAAATATACGAAAAAGTATTTATATTTACCAAAAAAAGTACTTACATTTAAAAAAGATTATTGATAAAATTTATATTAATTAAAAACAAAAAATATTTTATCAGTGATTTTTCAAATAAGAAAGGATTTTAAAAAAATTACTGATTAATTTATATTAATTAAAATTAATTCCATATATGATTTCTTAAATTAAAAAAAAATAAAAAAAGATGTAAAAGGATTGCTAATGAAATTTATTTTGATTAAAAATAAAATATATTTTGTTGGTGATTTTTCAAATTAAAAAAATAGAAAATAATTTGATTAAATTACTGACGAATTAACGATAAAATTTAGCTAAATATATAATTAATTAAAATTCATCACTAGTGTTCATTGGTATATATGTATGGATTACTTATATCTAATTGATGGCTAATTTGACCACCGTCAGACGCTCTAACACAGTAACATGTTAATAAATGTGAAAGATCGTGCTTGAATCTTGTCGGTGATATCATTTCACCAACGGATTACCAACGAATTTTTATTAATTATGTATTTAGTTAAATTTTATCGTTAATCCGTTAGTAATTTAATCAAATTAATTTTTATTTTTTTAATTTAAAAAATCACCAACAGTATGTACCTTTTATTTTTAATTTGAAAAATCACTGACAGAAAATATTTTATTTTTAATTAAAATATATTTCATCAATAATCTTTTTTAAATATAAGTATTTTTTTTGTAAATGTAAGTATTTTTTGGTATATTTATTTCATTTTACAAATGTAAGTGCTTTTTTTGGTTTAAAAATGTTTAGGGACTTGATCGTTCAAAATATGAAAGTCTATTGGCTTTTTTCCATACTTTTTCCATTATTTTACTATATTAACCAGTTGTATAGATCATAATGATGTATCTAACAGGCTTTGGAATGTCCAAAGAGTTATTTAATAAGTTTTGGAATGTACGAAGACTTGTTTCTTTCAAAAAAATTGTCCAAAGACTTAAACATTCCAAACACTAAATTCTATTATGTTTTTTTAGACTTTTCCCTTTTTATATATATGTTTTAGAAAGATGTATTGGAAATATAAAATTATAGAATATTTAAATAATATAATTAAGGATGAAATCTCTAAAATAGAGAATTTGTTATAATTGACTGTAATTTATTTTATAGATTTTAAATTTTGGTTCTCTATTTTAGAGAAATTATAGAAAAAGTGTTAGAAATGCTCTAAGAATTATCACTGTGTAGAGGTTCTTATAAACATCTCAAATCTTTTAAGTGTTTGAATAAGAACCTTGGTTTTTACCATAAAGTTTATAAAAAAGGACATTTTTCTTATTTTTTATTTTGTTTTCTTGATATTATAGGTATTAATATAATAATTATTAATTTTGAATGAATTAAAGTGAGCTATAAAAAAGGAGGTTCTTATAAGAGTATCCATAATGATCAAATAATGTAAAAGAGTTGAACATAATAAAAATAAATAAAAAAAAGAGTATTGGTCCCACTATAATCAGTGTTTTTCTTTTTCTTTGCTTCTCACATCCATGTCTTCAAAGTCTTGAGGAACCTCAGCAAAAATTTATCTTCAACTCATTAACTTCAATGGTCAAGTCATCTTCAAACAATCATCGGATCTCTAAGAACCATCATTGTGGACTTTTAAAAAAGTTCTTGATTTGATGAGTTGGAGATAAATTGACAACAAAAATTACAAAAAGGAGATTTTTATAAGAACCTCCATTGGAGATGCTCTTGAACACTTTTGGGTTATAATTGTAAAATTTTTGTGTCGACAAATGAATTGTTTGTATTTTTTTTTAAACCAATAAGAAGAAGAAAGTATAAAGTTCAAAAACCGGTCATTGGTATTGGTTAATGTAAGAAAATTTTAAGAAATATTATGTCTTCTCATTTTATCGACTTTAAACCCAACATATACAATATAAATGGAGTTGATGGTTTATTAAAAGAATACTGGATACTTTAGATCTAAACACAATTCATTTTGACCTAGAAACCACAAGGAATATAAAATATACTCAATATAGACAAAGGTAACAAAAATTCAAACTAAAAATAGGAAAAAGATTCAAAAGAAAAGGGTAAAAAAACAAGACGTGAATTAGTTTACAATGTTATAATTTAACTAAAATTTTATTTCTTATCCTTAATTAATTTATGTTAAATGAAAATTCAAGATATTCTTTAAAATAATTGTCCGTTTTATTATTTTATATGTGTATTTGTTATTTTAGAAAAGCTCAAAAGACCGGTTACTACGGACCGTCCACTTTTTCCTTTTTTTAACACCTGTTGAGACGACACTTGTACACCTCTGCTTAATGTAAAAAGAGTTATAAACTTGCTCAAGCACATATCTTAACGATCAAGTATACGTTTAAGTTTTATGATGTGTTCAAGGTAAACTCAAGTAATTGGAAATTTCATAGATAACTTCACGTTTTGGTAAGAAAAGTTGTCTTCGGACGAACAAATGTATGCATAGATTTTACCCACAATGCCATTACTTTGAGCAGGATATATATTTGATTTGATTACAGTTGTTTCGTGTTTTACATAAAATTCTTGAAATCTTTTACGTCGTTTAAAAATTTAGATGGTGATGATTGTTTTAAACGGTAACTTAAAAGAGCATGCATGATTGGATTTAGAATGGAGTAAAACTTGTAGATTACAAGCACCAATTGCCGATTGGCTTTGTTCATTACATTCAAACACAGAGGGACGGACGCATACAAAAGATAAGAGTAAATGAAAAACTACTACGTTATCAGAAATGTTCAACCTTGCTTCGACCAAACACAAACTTTAAACACTCGAGGCCGCAATGCACCACGTCTCCCCATGCTTATACACGGTCTTCCCGGCCACGATTCAGTAATAATAAGTTAAAGGTAAAAAAAAGTGTCCCCTTTCCCTTATCAAAACTTTCTCCTCCCTCATACTGTATAATGTTGTTGAATTGTGTCAATGTCCAAACCTTTCAGTTTCACCACCGACTCAACGTGACCCTTGAGTGTAAGTACCTCCCGAAGCCTATACAAACAAACAATCCAACTATTTGTTAGCTACTCAAAACAACCCACTTTCCTTTAGGTCAAAGATTCAAGTCTCACCAAGTGTCCGAGAGTTTTAATTTTCCGTATATAAATATTATATACTTCAAAGAAAAATCTAAAAACAACCTCAAAATGTGAATAATGGCTATTTATGTACCTTGCAACTTCGGCACGTCTTTTGGCCTGTTCAGCAATTTCAGACAGTTCTCGGTAGCTGCTCTTCTCGTGAAAGATATTAGATGTCTCTGGTGCTTGAAGCCCATGTAAAGTCCTCTGAGCAAGAGCCCATTGAGCCTCTCGTTCTTCTCGTCCATAATCCTTCTTTGATGTGAAAGCGGTCTATTCCAAAAATGTTTTTAAGTTTAGAATCAACCCTTTTGAAGTTAAGTTCTCAACACAAGACCTATTACCAAAGGGCCATTTACCCTAGGTTCTAGTCTCACCAAATGTAAATGTGAGATGTGTGTGTGATTATAGAACATCTATTAGTTAATGGAATATACCTTATTGTCGAGCAAGTTGAGCCAAGCCTTGCCGCTAAGGATATAGCGGATGGCAAACTTCATAATGTCGAGAGGGAAATAGAAGACGATACTGTAAAGCCAGATGACACCAGCCCATTTCCATCCAACTCCTTTGATTCTTGCAAATTCCCATTCTGCATAAACTGCTACTAAAGTTGCTACCTGAAATACAAGTTTCAGGTTATGCAATTCCATTGATAAACCTATTCGGTTAATTAATGAATCGAAAAGCGTTACCAGTTGTGCTGCCAAGAAAGCACCCATCAGTAAAAATCCAGGTCGTTCGACAAATGACCAGCTGCGAGATCGAGTCACAAAGATCAGAGCCTGGCTCACTATACTGACTTGCAAATACAGAGCAGCCATCATTTCAGTCTCACTAGTCCTGATAGATTTCACTCCAAATTTATCCTGCACCACCCATAGAAACAAACATCAGTAAGCAAAAACACCCATCAACCTTTTTGTGAGATGAGTTATGTTTATGGGGATAACTTTCTTTCTTTTATATTCTTACCGAAAAGAAGTCGGTATCCTTCATGATCCAGAAGAAGATAACTGTCATCAATGCCAAGTAACCTCCAAGCACAATGCCAGTAGCAAAGATCTCTTTTAGTTTCCAGCTATCAGGTAATGGAGATGGCTTCACCCTATCCTTTGAGATTGTCATGATTGTTCCTTCATGGCATCAAAAGAGGGGGGACATCAGTAAGATAAATTCAAATATTAGATGTAATGTTGGATAACTTAAAAACACTCACCGTCGTTTAGAATTGCAATGATAAGAACCATGAAAGGAGAGAAGTCGAACTTCCATATCAAAGCGATGAACATAAATCCAAACTGCAAAGATATCGAAAGTTAGTCACCCAACTCAATACCATATTATCCTAATAAAATGATTCAAATTTCATCTTCAACTTACCACAATACGGATGGTGATAGAAACTGCATAGATCTGCAAAAAGAGGAGAGGAAGAATTTAGTAACTATGAGCTGTTTTGATCAAGCAAATGTGTTTATTAGACACGAGGAACTAACGGTGTAATTTTTCATCCGTTGGAAAATGGCTCTGCTGGTAAGCACGGCACTAATGATCACACTGAGCCCAGGCTCGGTAAGCACGATGTCAGAAGCTCCTCTTGCAGCATCTGTAGCATCAGCAACAGCAATTCCGATATCAGCCTTCTTTAAAGCAGGGGCATCATTCACACCATCTCCAGTCATCCCACAAATGTGTTTCCTCTCTTGTAGTTTCTTCACAATTTCGTACTTGTGTTCTGCATATTTCGACGACAAAATTAGTTAATCTTTTTGAAGGACTTAAGTTTGTGTATACAATTAATGACCCTCCTCTCTTTTGAGGAGTAATCTGATGTGTTGAGGGAATTGCAGAAACACTGACCAGGGAAAACTCCGGCAAATCCATCAGCTTTCTCAATCAACTCATCAACAGGAAGTGCTGCAATTGATTCATCCTTGTGTCCACCGAGCAAAGAAGAAGAAGGGTACATGTTTGTTCCCATACCAAGACGTCTACCAGTCTCCTTAGCAATGGCAAGTTGATCACCTACATACCATAGAATATGATCAGTACTTAAATATCAAGTAGAGGATGAATGATTGCTCTTGAGCTATGGTTACCAGTAATCATCTTCACATTTACACCAAGGTTGAGAGCTCTTCGAATGGTCTCAGCACTGTCATGCCTTGGTGGATCAAAGAGGGACAACAATCCAACAAATTGCCATGGAGAACCCGGGCTATCTTTAGATTTTTGTGGCACTTCCTATAAATTTACCACATTGCCACAAGTTTAAGAAACCATTGATCAGATAACAACACATATAAACAAATTGAGAGGAATCATGCAAACCTGTCTTGCAACAGCCAAAGATCGCAGACCACGTTCAGCAAATTTATCAATCATGGCGTGAACTTTCTTCTTGAGATCTTCCTTGCAGGCACAGAGAGTCAAAATCTGTTCAGGTGCACCTTTGCTAGCTCTAAACCAGTTCCCTTCACCATCAATGTAAGTCAAAGCAGTCCTCTTATCCACAGGGTTAAATGGGAAGAAATGAACCTCTCTGATGCCAGCTCGTGCCTAAAAAAAGGATGTATTGATTTCAGTTTTCTAATTGTATCAGTTGGATTTGTTTTACTAAAAGAAAAAGAGAGAAACCTCTTTGGGATCAGCAAGGGTTCCAACAATGGCCGCATCAATAGCATCTTGGTTTTCTGTCCTAGAAGCCCTTGCAGCATAAAGCAACACCTGCTCCTTATCGACACCTTTGGCAAATACCTCGATCAAATTTTTATCGACCGAGAGTTTGTTAAGTGTCAAAGTTCCTGTTTTGTCACTACAAAGAACATCCATTCCCGCCATTTCTTCAATGGCAGTCATTCTCTTAGTAATAGCACCCTGCTGTGAGAGCCTATGTGATCCAATAGCCATGGTAACTGAAAGAACCGTAGGCATAGCAATTGGAATTCCTCCAATAAGCAAGACCAAAAGATTATCAATTCCCTTTCTGTACTCTCTGTGCTGGATAGGGTACATGACAATAATCTCAACAACCATTCCCACAGCAATGGAACAAATACAAAAGTTCCCGATTGCTGTTAGGACTTTCTGGAAATGTCCAACTTGGTTTGTGCTGTCCACAAGATGTGCAGCCTTCCCAAAGAAGGTGTGGACCCCAGTTGCAATGACAACAGCTTCAAGTTCACCTTGCTTGCAAGTTGAACCAGAGAACACTTCATCATATGGATTCTTGGTGACGGGAAGAGATTCACCGGTGAGGGCAGATTGGTCAATCTTTAAAGGATCACCTTCAAGAAGCCGGGCATCAGCAGGTACGATGTCACCAAGTTTGATGCTTATAATATCTCCAGGAACCAATATGGAAGCTTCTTGTTCACTCCAACGACCATCCCTCAAAACCTGCAGAAAAATCACCATGGAAATGAGATCACAAAAGCTTAACCTCATAAGAAAGCATTGATATATCCCATATAACAAGTCTAAACTTGATAAACAATGGAGGAAATACCTTGGTTTTGGGGGCAAGACCTGCCATAAGTGCAGCAGCAGCATTTCCAGCGTTGTTTTCTTCAATGAAACTGATAGTTGAGTTGATAACAAGCAGGCAAACGATACCAACAAAATCTTGCCAATCTGGTGGCTTCCCACCTCCATTAGCCAGTGCAATTGCCATTATAGCTGCAGCCTCCATGACCCATGATAAAGGATTCCACATAAACCCAAGAAACTTGAGAAATTTGCTTTCCTGTGTTAAACAAAACAAAAGAAAATATCGTTGGCCATCTGGAAGTGAAGCTACTAGCAAGGTGCGGCTACAAATCAAAGCAGTTTGTAGTAATCGAGTGTACCTTCTTCTCTTCCAATTTGTTTGGTCCGAAAATTTCAAGCCGGGTGGCTCCTTCATCTGTGGTCAGACCTTCACGGTTACATTTCAACTGCTCAAACACCTCTTCGATAGGTACCTTTTCCTGTAGTACGAAATACACGATTAATTGATTAACAAGCTAGATACCATTATAACAATGGAGCAACAACTTAATTGGACAAAAGTTACAATGTTCTTGACTGTTACTGCATACGCAAAAGAAATAAGGACATGCATAGGAAGCTATATACGTATACCTCATGTTTGTAATGTTAACACACATATAATTATGCCCTTCAGTAACTACATATCATTAGTTATAAGAGGAGATCTGCATCATTTTATTTATATTGAGGAAAGATTCAAGAAATAAAGTGTCCCACTTCTTAAAATCATATGTGCACAAGGTTCCACTGAATCAAGCTCAATCTTTTAAGTTATAAATAATATTATTATTTTCTGAGAGGCAGCGGAACCATTTGAGTTGATTACTTTGGTCACAGTAGTAGTAGTTGGCTGTTGCTTTGAAAAGGACTGCAAACTCAAACACATGATAATATATACAAACATACTTAAATAGGGAACACTAGATTAAAGTGAAATTTAAGTCACCCTGATTAGATTTATAAATGTAAAATAAAGGGGATGGATTTGACATGTATATGAAATTAGTAAAAAAATGTTAAAATAACAGGTGGATTGTTTATTTAAAATAAACTTTTTGATAATTAGTTGCTTTAATGAATATATAAATAGAAGATTTAATCAAAATAAATTTAATATATGAGATGGGTTATGTCAAAATTAGGTACAATGCTACTTTCATGGAGAATGGATAAGTAAAATAAAAAGAGACATGAGAACATGTTGCATAACGCAAGTTGACTTTTCCACTGAACACAAATGGTTGGACCCACACATGACGGAGGTGCCAATCTCGACAGAAGAAGGTGCATCTTTTTCTATTTAGTATTTCCTATAAAATATAAGGACCAATCAAGCAACAACGGCACGTTGCCCTATAAGAGAAAAAGTCCAAAAAGGTTTATGTGCTCCCAACGATTCCCCACGAGAAAGCAGTTACTTGACAGAATTTCATGTAAAAATAAAATGGAGGAGGGTACAAAGCAACTATTTTTTCTTTTTATTTTTGCACAATTATTTCAAGATTAAAGCTCTTTTAAAATATATATTTGAATATAAAAATATAATTTTATCCTCACAAAAAATTGACGGTATAACTCACACTAACTCATAGTTTGTGCAATTAACAATTATTTACATAAACATAACGAAAAAGAAATTACAATATGACAGTGACCACTTTAGTTTTCTTATTTGTTTTTCCTGACAGAAAAAATAACAAATTTGGTAAATATTTTATGCTTCATAAAAATTACATAATTTTCTTGATCTTTACTATGCTATATAAGAAATTAAAATATTTTTACTAGACAAGTTTATGTAATTATTTTTTTACTATAAAAATGTGATATTTATTTCTTTTTATAAATAAGACCATTTTAAATATTAATTACAATTCGATATTGGAATTATTTGATAAAACAAACACACACACACACACATATATATATATATATATATATATATAAATAAATAATGAAACATGCAATCTATATGTTTAGAGCATGCTTTCCCAGGCTTTTCTTATGATGCAATATTGCAATTACTCAATAAAAAGCAACAATTACCTCCTTTAGCTATCAAATGTTAAAATGAAGTTACTTTTTAATTATTATATAATATTTAATTAGATATATTTTAGTTATAAATATATTTAAGTATTAATTATAATCACCATCATAATAATTTATTTCACTAATGAAGAGCAATAAAGAATAAATCCAAGAAACTGTGTCAGATTCCATTAGTCAGAGCTGCTAACAGAAGTGGAACAATCAAATTAAAAGCATCAAAATAGACAAATATGGTTTCGGGTACCACGGAGCATTCAAAAGTACTGCACCAGCTTTCTCTCTCACCCTTTCATTATGCACATATATTAATCACAATAATAATTTTGCATCATAACTAAAAAATGGAAGTGCAAAATTGAACTCAGATTTATGCATAACCATTTAAGAGAACTATTGCAAAGTTTGTGTAACATTCAGTTGATTTAGCCATATTATGAGATCTTATTCTAACCATATTTTGAGGATGTTTGTTGAATAAACCTCTTTTGAGTTAATTGGAGTCATTCATGTATAAAAAATATAACGAATAGAAAGTTGACATTGATGTACGTTATTGTCGGTGTAAAAAATGGTACAAAAAATCATTTAAAATGACATGAATTCCTGTGATATCAATCTTAGAATTTTATTCTAGTTGTACTTTAAGGCATAAGAGGGGGTACTATCACCTTTTGGTGATAACATAACATAAAGGTCAACTGTCAATTATTAGATAATAGCTATAAATGAAATTGTATTCCACAAACTGTAACAATCCCTTAAATCTTTGGCTACAAGATGGGAATTAATCATTGATCACAGGGATTTCAAAAGATTTTCCCCAAATCGTTAGAGATAATCACGGGATCAGCCAAATCTCTTGTCATTAGAAAAAAGTATTAAATAATACACATCGATCGAAATGTACGGAACTAAAGTGTTTCTAATGAAAACACAAGATGAAACAAAATGATGATAAATAATTGCAAATCGCTGGGGATATGAAATCCGTGAAAAAAATAATAATAAATAATTGATGAAAAAAAAAGTTAAAATAAGTGTAAACACACACATACAGGGGACAAGTAATTTGTCGATTAGCATCAAATTAATGAATAAACAAAGTCATTATTCAACTCGATCTGTAACTGATATAAGAAAATGAAAAATAAACCGCAAAACAGATTGATTGCTTGTGAAGGAAAGTCGTCACATGCGAACGCTCCCTCACAATAAATTTTTTTGAACATCATAGTAGTTAATTTGGTGATTCTGAAGTTAACAATGAACATTCTATCGTTGACGTTGATGATTTCGAACAGAAATTCTGAAATTGAAAGAGATCTATTCTCAATTGATTTACGATAGCACTCCAAAATAGTTCATAGAGCTAACAGAAGATTTGAGTTCAGAGTAAATTAAATGGGGAAGAATAAGAGAAAAAGCTTTCATACCAGATCGACAGTCTCATTCTTAATTCCTTCAAGGCTGAGAGCCGTATCACCACCCATCTCCAACAGCTGAGAGAAACAGAACAACGCCGACGGCAGAAACTACGGCAACAACAATTCAATTGAAGAGGACCGTCACCGCTAGCATCAATGTTGTTGATAGTCTGAATCAATGGAGTTTGATTTTTCTCAAACCCCAATGAAAAAATCTGCAGAGAGAGAGAGAGAAGAGAGAGAGAGAGGGGGGTGTTCTGTGGGAGGAAGGGCTCTTCTTCACCTGATATGGATTAAGAATAGGAGCGTCTCTTTATACTTCACCACCCTAACCTCACCCCATAAGCCTGTACCAAGTGGCCCCTAATTATTTATTTATTTTTTAATTTTCAACTCTAATTATTTACCAATATTATAATATCATAAAATATATAATTAACATCTTTACATAAAATAAAATAAGAAAACTCTAAAATGGGAAAATATGAGAGAAAATGATTTTTGGGAATTTTTTCAAAAATTCTGTTTTTTTATTTCCAAGAAAGCTTATTTCAAATCAGTCAATCAAATTAAATGGAGGAAAGTGATTTTATTATATTATTGAATATTTTAGTAATATAATTAATACTGAAAATATTCATATAAATTTCTTTTTGATTTTTTTTATGTCGTTGGTGATGGTGATGCTTATAGTTATATTTTAGGTAGAACTCGACTCGCTAATCGTATTGCAATACATCTCTATTTGATTTTTATGAGTGTGTTTTTTAGGGAGCGAGAGAATTTACTGTAGTTATCAGTTTATTTTGTCGTATTAATATGACTTAATGTTTATCGTTTCATTATTGGTTTTATAAAATTCAAATACATTAATAAGTTATTAGAATAGTACTCGTGCAATGCAGCGAGATACATCTCGATTTTAATGTTTTATTTTATTCTTTATCTATGTCGATGTTATAATACAATTTTATGTGTTTTTAGGAAAACAATAATGATTTTATTTTTTAATAAAATATAAATTTGAAAAAAAATATTAATGTTAACATCAAATCAACTATTTAAAAGTACTATTTTTTATGTAATTTCTTTAATTTATTTTTAATTATAATTTAATTTAAGTTTAATTATGAAATAGTTTATTTTTTATTTAATAATATAACATTTTATAAATATAATAATTAAGTATTCTGTTAGAACTTAATGATTATC